GTCAGTAGAAACAGTCACTCCTATTCCATGTATAATCAAGGATGAAAAGGCCACGAAAAATACCACTGCGCTTTGCAAATGAGAGGTCAATTGAAATGTCAAGATATCAAATGTTAATGGATTGCATTTCCAATGATGGTTGGGACAGAAAACCATACCAAGTCAAGTCAGATGCCCTTCTGAGGAGAAGATGAGTTTTATGGTAGGAAAAGAGGATAAACACCAGAATTCTTTGGTTAGCAAGCTCGTGGCTGACAGAAAACAAATATATTTAAAAATATAAAAAGCAGCAGGATTTTAATGCAAGCTATAATCCCAAAACATGTATCTGGAAGTCATTAAATCTACAGCAAATTTAAGCATATGCAGGTGTTTGAGGAAAATGCCACTGCTTTCTATTGAAGATTTTTAAAGGGATTATAAAAAAAGAGAGTATAAGGGACACTCAAGGAAGGCAGTGTTTTCTTCCCTGAAGCAAGAAGTCAATTCCAATATTCTCACAGTTCTACAGCAGTTCATGGACTACACGGACCACTCTTAAAAGCATTCATTTTCCATTTAAAAAATATAATTCCTCTCTTTCAAAACTGTTCTATTTCTTAGTGTTGGATGACATCAGGTTTTAGCCGAACTGTTCTTTCACTTGCCCACATTTTCGCAAGGAATCCATTTGGGCATTTTCATAAAGAACTGATCTGAGGCATTTGTTCAGAGTGGCATTATATCCAGTCCTGAGTCAGAAGGGCACCACCATGCAAAGAACTCATCTCTTTAATATGGAAAACAGTGAAAAGAAACTAGTCATCTTCCTAACCACGGTTTCTGCTCAACTAGTAGACACACAGTCCTCCTTTCCCAATTGCAGAGAGACTTACCTTGTGTCTATATTAGCTCACTGGTGGGTTCACACACGTAGAGAGAAAACAGCATTATTAGTGACTTTTGAGTAGGAAGACTCCTTGGTCTATACGACAGAGATATGTAATATCAGGAACGAAGAAGAGTGAGTAATCATTTGGTCTTCTGTGTAAGAGTAACTACTTGAGTGAATTCCAGTGAACATATAAGGAAAAGGTTTTAAACAAACAAAACAGTATTTTTTCACACACTGCAGTGCTCAATGCCACAGGATGCTGTAGGGACACGAAGTATAAACTGACCTCAAAAGAGATTTTGCATAGAGGATAACTCCATTGGTACCTCCTAATCACTGGACGTGTGATTATGGAAGTGTTAAAAGCTGTGTCCATGAAGGTGGGAGGATACTACCTCCCACCTTCAGTAGAAGATGCCATAATTACTGTTCTTCTTCCTCCATCTTATGCCACTGGCAGAGATAAAGCACTGGGTTGGGTTGAACTTCAGTCTACGTTAATGTACAGGCTGCCAAGCCAAGCGTATTTGTACTTGAGTGAGGCCTAACCCTGCCTGTGCCTGGATCTGAGGAGATCCTGTGGCTCAACTCACTAATAAGAGACAAGTGATGTGGTCCAAGTCAAAATGAATACGATTCCTCTAAGCTCTATGAAGATATGGGCTCCAACTGCCTACCCAAACCTGGAAAAAAATCTGGGAAAATCGATCATCTGTCAGGTTTCCGAAGAAAGGTACTGAATTTTAATGATATCCCTATTCTCTTTCATCAAATCACAGGGTTAATGATATCCCTATTCTCTTTCATCAAATCTCTTTCATCAATTCACACAAAAGATTATTTCCTCTGTATGTGTCCTAATTCAAAACCATTTCTCATGTAACAGCTCTTTAGAAATCATAAACCCTCCACAGAGTACACTCATTTAAGTCATGTTACCTCTTCCAGACTCAGGGATAGGAATAGCATAAGGACCAGCAAGTACATAAGAAAGTATCTAGGACTTTGCATCCAGGAAATCCATTTTCTACAACAGGCTCTCAATGAAAATATGGATAAAACCAATGGGTTTGGGCAAGTGGTCCTTATAGGACAAGGGCAGGAGAAGATAAGTTAAATGTAATGGATTCTGCAGTTATGGTGGCCACCTTGATGCTACATACAGATAGAAAAGGATCTTATGTTTTTGGAAAAGTAACTGCACTTTTTCCACAGCCCACTACCTCCCCAAAAAATCAGTTCTGCAGACACAGAGACTTCTTAGCTATTTTCTGTGTGCTTACTTATAGTAATGTTATGTCAGATGATACTATCAGTACATAAAGATGAGTTCCTATGGATGTGTTGTGTCTTGAAGTGCTCCAAGCAACATGGAATTGAAACCATGCAGTCTGAAGGAGCCAAACGCTACCTGCATCTACCCTGGCCATCAGGAATTTCGCACCAATTAGTTTAAGCACCTATAGACACTTGGACATTAAGAAGCCAGCTGCTTGGCTGCCTTACTGTACTGTAGTAAGGAAACCTTCTTGCTTTTTTCCTCCATAAGTGTTAAGTGCTGGAGGGATTCCACAAAACAAAAAAGAACAGTAAACTTCCTCCCAAACATTAAACCAACAAGATTAATAAACTGAGCAATGAAAAGTAAATAGATAATTTCTTCAGAAATCTTCATAATGCTCCTAAACTAGTATGTTAAATAGTAGCACTGTCCAAGTACCTGATATAAACCATAGTCTTTAAAAGGGAGTGATTTCTAATTCCAGTTTTGAGACACAAGAACTATGTCACCACAACATAAAAACAAGGAAATTTTTTATGCTAATGACAACTGCGAATATTTTATATATATTTATATATGTAAAAAAAAATATATATATTGTAACAGATGTCAAATGCAGTTAGATTCAACTCAACTTATTAGTGCATGGCTTTTAGCCAAAAGCAATTCACATTTGCAGAAGTGTACTATCACATATGTCTTAATAACAGAAATGTGTTTTTAAAAATGTATGTGATAAGTCACATATGGTAGAAGGAATCTGTACAGCTTTCAGCCCTTATGACAATGGAAGCTACTAGCTTTATTTTGCATAGCTGAAGAACATTAAAATTCAAGTGAAATTCTCTTTGACATTTGAGAGCTACAAAAGAAACAAGTAAAAGCTAGACAAGCCTGAGCTGTACTAAGTGTGGCTGTGACGCTTATATAAATGCAATCTATATCTGCTCCTCCTATCTTAAAGACACTATTCTTACTTTTGCCCTGAGAAGTAATATTTTAGCACACAATCATAATTGTATACAGGTACCTTAAATAGTTACATGTCACTGAAAAATACTAGGCAGATTTTTCAGCTGTTTTGTTATGCAGTGTGTAATTAATATGTATAATGGATTCCCTAGGGTACTAATTGAAGCTGCCACCATGAACATAGTCAAAGAGAAGTTAAACAACCAGTTGGGGAAAACATGACAGGGTGAAATACGCACATGTAGGTGGAAAGAGCGAGACTGTCCATCTGGCCTTCTTCCATTCCAAAATATTTCACTTACTCAAGTCCCATAAAGGAATGATTTAACCTAAATCACCCTTTCCCCCCACTCCCAAATCTTTCTGGTGGATTAATTGGGCATCAGTGTCACACACACATTGTTTAATGACTGCAAAGCTCAATATCTCTGTTATATGTGGGAGAACTCGATTCAGCTGAGCCATTCCTAAGAATTTGACTCAAAATATTACAAAAAAGTGAATGAATGATAAATTATTATTTTGGAGTTGTTCCCCAGCACCCTTATCACCTTGCAACTCCTGGATCTTCTAGAATGTGAGGTGAAAACACAGCTCATTTCACACTCTCTATTAAACAACCACCAGCTAACAATGACTTTAATTCAGATTGCACTGAATTTGAACTAGCCCTATAGGCAAGAAAGGTCCCCTGTCTTATTAGAAGTTTCATGTGCTATCAGGTCCCTGCTGGATCCTATTTCTAATTTTTATCAGATTGAATGAAACATAAAGAGAGAATGATTTATGACTATCTTGCATCTTGCCTAATCACTCCAAGGAGTATTCATACACATTTCGCGTTCACTTTACAAGGTGTAAATGACTATACATGATGGAAGCTAAGTGAGAAGTAGAACTGTATTCTTTTGTTATGTGTGCTAAAACACAATGATTTGTGAGTCCTGTCAGTGCATGTTCTTACGAATACAAAACCACTCCAGTCCAAAAGCCAGCATGATCAGCAAACTACTATAAAAATAAGAACATTTCCTCTGTCTGTAATAGGAATATACAGTTACTGGGACTTAGTTAAACTGCAATGACCACCTACTGAAGCTAAAAATATGTGTTTTATTGGTACATAAGAGCCCATTAAGACCAGAGTATTCATTATTTAAACAGAATCACTGATTGCTAGTAGCTTTAACTGAAAATGTCTTTTCTCAAAGAGCCAGTACATCTATATAGCAACTTTCTTAATTCAATGATATATGGTTGAGTGTTGCTGCTAGTGCCCTAAGATTTAAGAACTTCTCATAAAATGCCCTGGAAATTGCTCCCTGGTAGCTTGCTCATCCTTCACAGAGCCCTACTGTAAAGAGCAGAAACATACGTGTGTGTATGGTATGAAAGAGATGCACACATGGAGTGAGAAAGAGCTCTTAATCAACAGGATGGCAAAGCCTTGATACATAGGTGCAAAATATTCCCATGTGTCTAGAAATCATTTGGCACATTCCTAGTTATTTCCCCCCTGTCAGACCTTCTCAAGGACTGCAATTAAAAATCATAATCTTTTTAGCATGTACAAACCTCCCCAAGGCTAGGAGCACTATGCATTGAGTATGATTGTGATATTATTTGGCAGCTATTCATAGACAACACATTAATTTATGGAAACTGGATGAAACTTGGGGAGTGCAATCATTAGGGACACATGAGAAATTGAAAGCTTTCCTCAATGATACTGCCCTTTTTATAGCTATGATTAGGGCAACTTGAATTCTATTATCTCTTTCATCGCCCTTTGTACTGTCTTCATCCTTTTAGTGATTGTATACAACATCTTTGTTAAACTTGCATTTTCAAACAGATATAAAAATAACTTACTTTACAGGAATGTTTCTCAATTTTGTCTTTTCGGCAGCCTGTAAACAGAAGAGGGGTGGGGGAAATGAACAATTAAGCAACACACCAAAGCACAACGAAGCCACAAGTAAACATCAACACCTGGATGCTCTTCAGAAGCACACAGCCGGGCAGAGGGCTGCAGGAGCTGGACCCTTCCAGAGGTACCACTACAGGTTTTAAATCCTTCTGCCCCAGTTTATGATATCAGTGTGGTTTGTTTATTTTTAATGGCCACGAGTGTTTAGGAACCGCTCATTTAGGGCGATTACTTCATTTCCCGCCCTGAGGCCTGGCCCCTTTGCCACAAGCTATCTGTCCATATCTGGAACAAGAACAACAGGAAAAAATAAAGGGAAGAACAGACTCCGTTTCCAAAACAGTTTTTATTCGCCAACAACAGAAAAGGGCAAGGGATGACCAAACGTTCAGATCAATTTCCTCTTGTGAAACCTTTGAGAAAACACACTCCAAATCATCTAAATGAGTAAATCTTTGGGCCTCTCGGCCTGCACCACCTCAGACATGGAGCCTGGTTCCAGTTTATTGCTGAACCCATTGATCTGTGTACAGTCCATTTATCATTCATGAAAAGAGCCAGTGATCTTCACAGTATATTAGAAGAAACAACTCAGATCATCTGTCAACGGCCCTCTTATTTCTGTTTCCCTCTCCACAGGGATTTCATCTCCTTCGATTCTTCTTGAATTAAAATGTTGCTAAGCAACACAGCTGGGGGCACTGATGGCAGAGCCGCGCCAGTCTTTCACACTGGTTAAGCTGCTTGAGATTTCAGTGGAGATTTTTTTTTATTTTTTTTTTAATGCTTCTGTGGCATAATTATGTAATCTGAACCAACCTTGCATCCCCACTCTGATTTTTTTTCAGAATAGGTAAATAATGTTTTAATGCAAGAGGGCTTGAAATATCACCTTCAGATAAACTAGTGGTGTATCGTTTCACAGAATTCCTCCTAGCGTTTGCAGAACGAGACTGTAATAGATTTAAATGTGGAAAGCGGTCAGATGGTTAGTGAGATTACAAGCACGGATAGCGGTGAAAGGCAGAATTAAGACAACTGATCCATAAACCCATTATAGCAAGGAAAGTTTTAGTGCTTAATTACCTTCAAAGATATTTTTATAAAGCCTATCAAAATTGAAGAGAAGGGTTTTGGTGAGGAACTTTAACTTCTGCTATGCTTAGGGATGGGAATAAAATGGTTCCCACATAGGAACAGCTAATATTAGTGGTCCTGAAAAATGCTCACATAAGCCCTTGAGGAATTAAATCCTTTATGAAAACTGACTAACTTCTGAAACCTCTGGGACCTGCACAACTGGGTTCCAAATTTTGCCAGAATGAGTTTTCCTTTGGACTCTACAATGGGGCTAGTTTTTCAAAATACCTGCTCTTCTAGCACTTTTGCCTCCAATCATAGCAAAGATAAATTCTGTGTTTAAATCCACGGAAATCCCTAAAAATGAGTTTAAAATTTTAGAGAAAGAATTAGAGATCATGAGAGCTGAGATGGGGAAACACTAATACTCTAGGCTGGCTCCCACAATGTGAAGAAAAATGTGTTTGTTTCATTTGAATTATATTTTCCATCTAAAGAATAAATCAATGAATGCATGATAGGAAACAATTATATTAATTGTACAGTAGGGTTGCTAAATAAAACACTTAAACCTCAGGAAATGCTAAACTTAAGATTGCACAAGTAAGTGTTACAGACCCAAACCTAATTATGTCCTCTCAAACAAGCCTATGATGAAATGGGGTCCCTGGCTCATTAGTGAGATAATGCGAGTTGTGCCTCTTTCCAATGACACTCTCCCAAATCTCCCTTTTTCAGCTGCCGTGTGCAAATGCAGAGTCAGAAGCATGTTATTAAGAAATCTTTCTGAGTAATAAACTACATGTAAGAACACACAAATGCTTCATTTAAAATGAATTAAAACACCATCAAAACCGGCATTTCAGTTTCCCAAGCCTCCCATGAAATGCCAAGTTTCACTCCCATCCTGCAGGGAACCAAAATTATTTTTAAAGCTCATAAACAGCCTTCCACAATGGCAGAAGTTTTTTTTGACTGTACAGTGGTATTTTGCTTGATCCTTCTATATACCAAATAGCTGGACTATAACAATCCTGAGTTCAAGCATGTGAAACTTGCATCTAAATCAGTTTTTCCCCCCCTGAATTATTCAAAAATCACTCCACAAAAACTGATACCAAACTACAGATAAAGAAAAGAAAACAGAAGAGTGGAGAGTGACTAGGACCACAAGTAAATAACAATAATGCAGTCAATTCTAATACAAAGCAAATCAGAAGATATTCTGGAGACCATGTGTGTGATAGTGTGAGCTAAACTGTTTACATGAAAAATTAAAGAAGATGAAGATATTTCAGGGGGTGAGAACTGGCAATGTCAAAGTCATAGAATATTAAAGAGCAGAGGGTAAACTGGATGTTTGATTTTTGACTACTTAGCTATGTTGATGGCAACTGTTTACCCTGAAAGAAACATGGTAGCTTTAGGAAGAAAGAATTATAGATATATTTTATTTTCTTTGACCATGAACTTTATAGCACATATTTTTCCTTAGATTTTTACACGGAGAATTTCCACATTTTTTCCCCTTTGTTACTTAGAGAAGTCACTTCCCTAACACTTAAGAAAAGGTGCATGCTGGAGGGACAGTGTCCTTCACACACACGCTCATTCATACAGAGTTTTAAACAAATATTGCAAATGTTCAGGCTAATCTACATGCCAGGGTAGTTTAATGCTGGATGATCAAGCAACTGGTCATTTCATATTACAAATGATTCCGTTTGCCTCTGAGCGGGACCATGGTGATGTTAAACACAGCACGGAATACGTCAGGGATTCCGCCTGAGAAAGAAATGCAGGATCTGGCCTTCTGCTTTTATTTGTCTTGTAGGTGTTGCTCATTCATTTTTCAAAGCGTAGTTGTTGTGATATCACGAGCATGCCCAGTGGCAGAAGATAAAGGAAGGCAAAATCAAAGTGACATTGAGTAACTCTACACATTAAGCTTTGATGCAGAAACATATTGTTTGAAAATATTTGGTGTGCAGCAGGTCTGTCAATTAGAGCTAATTATTTTTCTCTGATCAGGAAGAATGCAATCTTGTTTTAGGCAGGTTTCTTTGAAATGTACGTCTTTTATATAACTTCATTACAGGAAAATACTTCTTCCAAATTACTTTTTTTCTGGGCTGCTTAGCTATTGACTCAAATTGTCTGTGTTGAGTAGTTCTCTCTGCTTTGATAATTAACTTTTGATCATTACTGAATTTAGCAGCTCTAGTCAGATGCGTTCATAGCCATCCTCCTCAACTATTTCAGTGTTCATCGCCTTTAATCTTTGAACAAAATGATCTCATTGAGCCTCCATCAGCCTCGCTACTCAGTTAATAATTCCTGTTTCTCATCTTCATGACTGAGTTTGATTTGTTTTAGGCTTGATGTGAGCTTTTGATTACTAATTTAAGATATTTCAAAGACAAACATGTTTTAAGAATTATTTTTTTATCTTATATGCCTAGGCCTTTACAAATAAGAAACTAGTTTTAACTCCACAATGATTCCTAGACTTCATGTATTAAAAGTACTGTCTAGAAACAGAGCAGGTAGGAGGCCCCTAAACCATGATACACGAGCCCTGAGTGGGAGACGATGCTGCAAAAGATTGGAATGAAATTGGACTGGCATAATGTAATATTCAATGGGTGTTAGGAGAATTACATCATGGGACCTTTGCTAATTTTGAGCTTGAAAACATGCATTAAAATAATTTAGTATGATTAGAAAATGGAAGCCAGAGTGAACTAGACAATCATTCCATTTTAATTTGTAATTTCCTTCTGATTTTTTTTTTAACAATTATGGCCTTTCCATAATTGTGCCTCTGCTCTCTAAGACCTTATTTCAACAGCCAACTCTAGTGTTGAATAAGAAGATGAAGAATACAAGAAATGCAGCAAGATACAGAGGATCATCCATCGGAGAGCATTTGCCCAGGGATGTTTTCCCAAGACATTTTTAACTGAATGACTCCTTCCTCTTATGTTGCATTACACCTGAGTTTGGCGCTCATTGTTTTAGCATTAGATCAAGAACCACCATGCTCAAGTATGCTTTACTTGATGTGCAGTGTGGATATGCCCATAATCTTATTTTGTCAGCAGGCAACTATTAAACAAAAGATTAAATGTGGAAATAACACAAACTGCTTCTAGATTTTGCACAAGGACCGCAAAATGTGAAAAAATATGCTTTTCTTCATCACTATAAATTACTGGGCCGGCTTTTGGATAGAACGGACCAGAAAATGTACTCCAGCCAGTACAACCTTCCTATATTACAAAGACCTGAGGAGAATGAACTGACAAGAGACTAGCTCAAAAATACCCAAGTAAAATAATTGACATCCGCAGAAGGCAAATTAGATTTTTTGGTCAAGTGTTACAGGGAAAGTGCCTGCTATCTGAAGAAAATATATACTTTCCATTGCATAACTGGAAATCCAGGATTTTCAGAGAAAAGTATTTAATTTCAAGAAAGTGAGATTAGACAAAAAAATATTTTTTAAGAATGCCTCCTCACCCTTGATTCAGAAGCGCTGATCAGCCACCCAAGAAGGCAATGGCTGGGCCTCCAAGAGTCTCTTAGGGTGAGACAGATGGCTAATTTGAGTTCATGCCACTGAATACATTGGCAGAAGAAGGAAGGCCTTCATGCTTTAACTTTTTCCATCAGCTGCTGCAAATCTAACCTAGCTTAATATCCCAGTTTCTAACCAGCTCTGTATGTGTGGGTGAATAGCTAAGTGACTCAACACAAGTTTACAACCCTCCATCCTCTTCTCCTGTCCTGTAGGTACACAAGAGACTCCTTAGAGACCTAATCCAATAAAAACAAAGAACCTTTCCACATTAGTTGAGTTACATATACAGTTTTATACATCTATCTATCTATCTTTGT